GATTTTAAGAGGACAATAATATGTCTTGTGGGTTTCCCCTTTACTTTATTGTGTTAACCTTTTTATGCATGTAAAATTTTAAAAACTCTTGGACCTAAGGAGTTTTCTTTCTTACACAAAAATACAACTCTTGTTTGCGTTTCTTCTTTCAAATTGTGCACTGGTGGTTCCTAGATAATTACATCTGAATTTTCAAAAGAGGATTGTGTCTCTTTTTATACAGTGTATGTAAACTTCTGGGTTCAACTGTATGCATGTGCAGACAGAAAAACACACTGCCGCACACAAATCTACATCATTCTGTGGTCCTGAACATGACCACTTACTTTGACCATTACACACACACACAGACTTCACTCACCATGAACCTGGTTGATCTCTGAGTTTTGAGACAGTATTTCATCTGCCAGTTTCTGAGCGGTTGGCAGCACTTCTGTATGGTGTACTGATATCAGATACTGGACAAACTTCTGCAGTTGGTCTCTGCTCATCTGGAACAGTGTTTCTGAAATGGGTAGGTGCAGTTTGACCTGCTCGGGCTTCCGTACTCTGTAAAGCGAGAGTGCCACTACATGGGCACAGTAGAAGATGTCTTTGTTTCCGCAGGTGCATGTCACCGCAGTAATCTTGCAGCGGTCAAAGCTGACACTCACGCTGCAGACAAGCTCCGGGTACGGGGGGGTGGCGGGGTCTGTCACTGTGCCACTTAGATGAAAGCCTGGAAAACAGAAAATAAATGTATAAATGAGACAACACTTCTTTTTTATAAAAACATTTTAAAAGTCTTTGACTAATTTTAAAATAAAGAAATAAATGCAGAAAAGATGACGAAAGCATAAACATTTAGAATTAGCCGCTAGAAGTCTATATGTGTTTTAGTCTGCAGGGTCCAAGCCCTCTGTCTGTATTTTCTTTTTTTCCCCCCATTCTTCATTGCAATTTTTGTGTAACAATATTAAGAAGGAGTTGGTGTCCCTGTGCACAATAATGAGATGAACTAAGATAAAATCCAGGTAAAGTATTTGTTTTGTTTTCCTGACGTGAAATTTTCAGTCACATATGCATTTCTAAAATCCAGTATGCAAGTGCTAATCACTAAGCAAAACGTACCCACGACTTAAATACTGTGGCTTATATTCCAACCAGGGGTGTCGAGATCAATCACTCAAGGGGTCAACATTTAAAACACAATCTAAATTGTGGGCCAAACAGGGTTACATTTACTGAACAGTCTAGTGCTAACAATGCTATAACCAGAAACATTGTATTTGGACAGACTGCAACGACATCTTCTTCACTCAAATAAATTCAAAGTCCAATGTAAATAAGAGAATTAGAATTGTTAATTAACCCCCATGCATGTGAACAGGACTGTCAAACCAGAGTGGTGCAGCGGGAAGCGTACTGGGCACATAACCTAGAGGTTGATGGATCAAAACCAGTCTCTGCTCGGGTTCTTCGTGATTCCATAGTGAGGCAATTATAAGACTTGTGTAGACATTTAACTAACACACAGATCGTCCAGTATTCATGTGTCAGGGGGACTCATTTTAAGACACCCATATTCTAAGCTGAGCTCTGGTGGGCCACTTCAAATAATGAGGCGAGCCATGAGTTAGACATATGTGTTATAAACTGTGAGTATGAAACAGCTGCAATCTGGTTTATATTCATTTACATCTTTGTTGCAGAAATTATATGTGTACATATTATGTAATTTATAGTATAAAGCATGTGCTTTTTGAAAGGGAGTAAAAAAATATATAATGTAGGGGGAAAACCTGCATAGTGGGGGCAGCTTATTATTATTTTGTGTGGCTTAATTACCAGGAAATAATTGAAGTAGAAAAGGTTTTAAAATGTACTTTAACAGTGTGAAAGTACTGACCTCCTAGTTTAGTTATACGTATTTAATAACTGACTTTACTGGAAATTAGTGAAGACAGAGACTGACTTTCAGTTTCTGGACACATCGATAAAACTTTTTTGTTCCTTATTACTTACTGAATAGAAAAAGAATAACTTGAACATCTCCCCATGTCATACATAGTTCACAGAAAACAGGTGAATCATTGTATGAACCAGACTTTGCCACAGTCACCTGTTCAAAGGCTCATGCTCTTCTTATCATGAGAGCATTATCAGCACCAGCTGTAGTGCAATGTTTTCCTCTCTGAGCAAATTAACCTGAGAGGAATCGCAGGAACAGGGATCTCAGTTTTGACAACAAGGAACAGAGAAAAGAGATGAGGAAGTGAGCAGTGAGTGTAGTTTGTACAAAATGAATGACCCAACCTCTTGTTTTAATATAAGGTTGGATCTCGTTGCGGCTGCTATCTAGAGGCAGGGCCCGTCATTATGTGGGGTTGATGAATATGAATAAGAAGGGTGGAGTCTAAAACACACAGTGGTGAGCAAATGAAAGACACAAACGTGGAGGCGCGCACAGGCCTCCCAGCGTGAGATCAAGCATTTATTGATAATGGGAGTGGTTAAGTGGGAGACGAAGTAGAGCTTATGAATGCATTTGTGTACAGAAGAGATCTGTGAAGTGCACATGGTCCAGGCAACCACATACATCTCCTAAATACAACCCCTGGCAAGAATTATGGAATCACCAGTCTCAGAGGATGTTCACTCAGTTGTTTAATTTTGTAGAAAAATGCAGATCACAGACATGCTAAAGTCTACTAAAGTCATTTCAAATGGCAACTTTCTGGCTTTAAGAAACACAAAGAAATCCAGAAAAAAAGATGTGGTAGTCAGTAACAGTTACTTTTTTAGACCAAACAGAAGGAAAAAATTATGGAATTACTCAATTCTGAGGAAACCATTTGTTCATTTGTCCAATTTCCCTTTTTCTACAAAATGAAACAACTGAATGAACATCCTCCAAGACTGGTGATTTCATAATTTTTGCCAGGGGTTGTCTGTTTATCAAGGAGTTGAGCGTGCACGTCTCTGTGATATCAAGCATGTATTAACTCACACGTCAAAGCCTTTTCTAGGTAAGAAGGGAAGGGAGGGAGTAGAATATTTCATAAATTATAGATGGAAATGGGTCGAGGGGTACACAAGTCAGGTCGGCGGAGGTAGGGTTAAAGCAGACTTTCCCTCTTTTTGATGGATACAGGGTGCCGTCAGAATGCAGGCAAACAGGAAGAAGAATGGCAAAGAAGGTAACAGGGTTACACTCTTGGTCTATATATTGAAGGCAGCCTCAGGTCAGATATAAAAATAAAACCAGCCTTTTATTTCTCCTCCAAAGCCCTTCTGCAGGCAAGCAGTCCATTTCTATCTATATCTGCAAAACCAGTGAGTGTTGGCTGCAAATATGTAACAGTGCAGAACTGAAGAACAATGCCATGGAGATATGCTTTTCTGTGAAAGCCAGCTGGCAGAGGAAATGCATGTTCGTTAACAATAGCCACAGAAGAGGGGTATGGATCAAATATGGAAAGCACTTCAGTGGTAATCAAAGTCTATATGTCCACTGCTGTGTGTGTGTGTAGGAGAAAAAAGAGAATGAGAGAGACAGACGCAGAGGGTTTACATGGTGCAGCTGGTTACAGAATGGTGAGCTGTAGAATATGCATCTGCGTAAACAAATACAAATGAGCAATAAAGCTTTAAACCCTTGTTGATACATTTAGTGCACATGAGCGTTTGCACGTTTGTTGAGCTAGTGTTTCAAAAAGTGGCCCCTGGTCCAGGGAGCAGAGACAAAGAGAGAACATCAAAAACATGTGGGGCTGACGGAGCTGAAAGACAAATCGTCTGATCAACACACGCACACACAGTCACACATTTATCTAATGGCTCCAAAAATCTGCTGCACTTTGTACTGCAAATGTTTGCCGTTGAAAGATTCTTGCTATATTTCAATCCGGTTCACGGCCCAGTTGAACGATTTGGACCATTTGAACCAATTGGAGGATTTGTTCTTCCCGTAGTCACAGCACCAAACTTGAAGAAATCACCTCGTAGGTAGTCTCAGGCAAGGAATGAGACAGCCGATAGATGGTCGATTCATTTAATGACAAAACGCCAAAACAAACAGGTCCAACAAGCAAAATAAAACGACTGGAGAAGTACTCAAGGAAATCTCATACAACAGTTGTTAATACACAAATCCAAGAACTAAAACTTCCCAATGTATCATAAGTGGTTTACGCTTATATACCTGTGTGGGGGAGTGGTTTTCGACTTCCCGGGTGTGTGTTTAAATGTTGTAGGCCAATGGAAGACAGAGGTTAGGCCTCTTGTGGCCAATCATATTATTGTTATTGTATCATGGTTGTGCCTGCAGTCCCCACTATGTGGCGCTGCTCCATGATTCAGCAGTATTGGAGGACATGTTTATGAACCTTTTGTCACTAAGTAGATGTTATCACAAAAGAAGTGGACGGATCCTTGAGGTCTAGCAAACAACAGGGGGTTATGTAAATCAAAGGAGTGGATGGATTCGGGGTTCCCTGTAAGGATGTGGATTGGGAGGCTTCCCATTGTTCCCAGGGAGTAGAGGTGTTTTGGAACAACAGGAAGTCGTCTGGAGAGTTAGTGTGAAGAGAATTTAGGAGAAATTCTCTTTGAATGTTTAGGGCAATGTGAGTGTGTGTGTTTGGGAAGGCCTTTGGTGTCTTAGCAGCTTTCTGCTTTCAGACCCAAACCAAATATGAAAACCACTGAAATCTAACACTCTATTCCCATAGGGAAATTTTAAAGGGGCAAAAACTGTTTTTTTCTATAAATTTAAAACACATGGAATAAGAAGAATGATAAAAGAATTGGGGTAAAAACACTTGTTTGTAAGCAAAAGTCTGCTGTGATACTAGTTTCTTTAACCTTTTACAGTTTCACTCTATTGCCTTCCGAGCCTTTTTCATCCCTTCCTCCCTCCCTTCATCAACATTCCCACCGCTCTTTCTGTCTCACTCTCTGACAGATGGGTAGGCAATGTGTTTTGCCTTTCCCCATCCAATAGTCTGGGCACCAAAAACTGCCCCCAACGTCAAAAATGCCCTTTTAAGCACAGGCATATTACTGTTTAGGTACACAGACACAAACACACACCTTCAATGACTCTCGGTTGGGTGGGTATGAAACCTTCAATGTCTCATGTGCAAGCTATTAAAGACCCTAGTCTCCCCCTCACCCAGTCCACCACGCTTTCCTCCCCAAGTGGTACTCAGGGCTTTTTTCTGTGCATGTTCAAGAGGCCAGGGTTGTCTTTCAAAGTAACCATAGCAGCCATTTTTAGAACAAGGCCTCTGTGAGGTTGCCCAAAGTGCTGTTTTAAGGCAGTGAGAACAGTGTGTGAATGAATGAGCAAGAATGAGTATATGTATATATATGTTCAAATCCCACAAAGGCCCATGGACCACCCACACAGCAAGGGGCTCCTCATCAAAGCATTCCCTGGTCCTGCCCTTTGCTCCATTTCCCCCCTCTTTCGCTCATTTTGAAATAGTTCAATAAACCAATAAGCCTGCTCACACCATTTCTGTCTATTCAACAACACTCTTAAATTTGTCCCAAACTAAGGCCTGCAGCCCACTCAGCATACATACTGCCTTTGTGTGCTCCCTATACAACACAGATCATCCTCCCACATGAAAGCAATCCCTGGTCATCAAGGCTGGGCCTGAAAGGTTTCCTTGTCCAAGCAAAAAATTGCCTAGTGTTCCAAAATCAATGCAGTAAATTAGATTGAGCATC